TAGCTATAGCTCTAACAACATTCAGCATCCATTCATGATAAAAATTATTTGCAAACTATGAATACAGGGGAACTCCCTCTACCTGACAAATACGAAATACCTTTCTTTTTTTTGAGTCGGAGTCTCACTCTGTCACCCAGGTTGGAGCGCAGTGGCACACTCATGGCCACCCCAGCGTCAACCTGCTGGGCTCCAGCAATTCTTCCACCTCAGCTTTCCAAGTAGTGGGAACTATAGGCATGCGCTACTACGCCCGGCTAATTTTTTTGTGCAGAGGTCCAGCCTCTGGAGAGCAGGGCCTGAAGTGGGGGGAGGGAATGAGAAAAGAAAGAAAAAGAACAGCCGGATTGGGAGGACTCTCTCCTGAATAGGTGAGAGCGATTTTATTCTCACAGCCTGCCCCTTATATAGGGCCAAACTACATAAACAGAAAATATCTTAATGTTAGCAACAGCAGGACATAGGTTAATGTTTGCAATTTTCTCAGCAAGATTAATATAGCACTAATGTGCACGTTATTAATAATTTAAAGTAAAAACACTAACATTTGCATTTTCTAAAAACTCTAATAAGTAAAGTTATGATCAAGGCAGGCCACATCTGGACTACACAGACTAGAGGTCACACTGATTTCTAGTAAATCAACACTCTCGGGTGCAAACATCAAAGAAGGAAGTGCTGGTCAAGCTCTTGTTGGAGCTAGACCAGGAACACAAGGACCTTGTCAAGCTTGTGTTTTTAGAACATAAGGACCTTGTCAGCTTATGTCCTTGTCTCCTTCATTTTTGATTTACTGTAGAGATGAGATCTCGCCAAGTTGCCCAGGTGGCTCTCAAACCTGTGGGCTCAGGCAATCCACTCGCCTGGGCCTCCCATAGTGCTGGGATTACAGGCTGAGCCACCGAGCCCGACTTATTTATTTTTGAGTTGGAGTCTCATTCTGTCACCCAGGCTGGAGGGCAGTGGCACGCTCCCGGCCACCGCAGCCTCGACCTGCTGGGCTCAGGCAATCCTTCTGCTGAGTGTTCAGTTTTTGACCAAAAAAATGGCATGACCCCTGTGCTCCACCCTACCTATTCCGATCTCGCCCTGAGGAACTTTTTTTGGTTCCACCCCCCATGAAAAAAGTCCTTGGGGCAGAGGGAAAAAAAAAAGAAGAAAGTCCTCAACGGGAAATGTTTTGCCAATGTGAATGGGCTGAAACAAAAAACGACAGAAGAACTAAAGGGTTTTGACAAGTTCAAAAACTGTTTTGAGCAGTGGCAAAAATGATAGGTGTACTGCATCAAACGGAGAGTACTTTGAAGGTGACTGAAATTTAAACATGTAAGAATAAATGCATAATTTTTTATAAATCAATTCTGAGTTTTTTGGGTCCCCACCTTGTATGTGAAACATCTACCAGGGTAGCTCATTAAAGACTCAGTGTCCAAGGTTTTTATTGGGAGCTGATCACAAAGACACCCTCTACCAAGCATGTATCAAAATTCCAGATTCCCAGAAGGAAAACAGGTGTTCGACATAGGCCACATTGCTTGTACACACAGTTTAGGCAATGTGGAATAATGGGAACCCTTCCAAAATCCCAGTTCCCAGACATTAGCCAAGGTCCAGCCTGGCAAGTAGGCTTTTCTAAGGATAATAGTCTCAGGCCTGCTATGTTAACTTTTTTCTGCACAGTATCATAACTAGAAGGGTTTTTTCTTTTTTTTTTTCCCAGGAAGACAAAGTTGGTTATACCCTTGAAAATCGTAGCCGGGCTTGGTGGCTCAGACTGTAATCCCGCGCCTTTGAGAGGCCAAGGTGAGTGGATTGCCTGAGCCGGCGGGTTCGCGACCCGCCTGGGCAGGTGAGACCTCAT